AATATACATACGCTACACATGTGTGTAAACATTCCGTAATAATATACATACGCGACACATGTGTGTAAACATTCCGTAATAATATACATACGCGACACATGTGTGTAAACATTCCGTATCACAAACACTTCCGTAATAATATACATACGCTACACATGTGTGTAAACATTCCGTAATAATATACATACGCTACACATGTGTGTAAACACTTCCGTAATAAAAGTAATAAACTTCCGTCCTCGATACTCGACCAATTTCGCTCTCTACACCCCTGTAACATGTCATTGTAAAATTGAAGGCTCCATGTACGACACCTTGAGGACAAGTCGGAAATACCAGGTTGATCCTTGGATGTACATCAAACGAATCTCGAGGTCCTACAGCGGTACGTTGCACTGGCTGTGAAGTTGGATGTCACTGTAATCTTTAGTAAAAGCGTATCAGCTTCTGGTTGATTATTTTGTTATCCTGGAACCAATTAAATTGCTTGTACCTTAAATGTTGCCATGACATGTTCCAGAGGTGCAGAGAGCGAAAGTGATCGTAACCCCTGGAGTATCAAGGATGGCAGAGACCGAAAAGTTTTTTTTTTTTTAATTTTGTCTTATTATTTCAAAATCTATGCTAAAAAACAATGTTGTTTATTCAACATCGGGTTATTTTCTTAGTATAAGGCGGGAGATGCATTCCTAATTACTATCTACCCCCAAAAGATCGCACAGTAGTAAAGGGTCAGGCAACAGTTGTCATTCATCGCATACTTCCAGATATTTCAAGGGGTATATATATATAAAACGTTTAAACTGAGCGGAAAGGAAAGTTAATTTATTAACATAATGTATGTGAGTAATGAGCTTAATTAAACAACAATTGTCCCGTGCTCCCCGCGGCTGGAAAGTACGCAAGACCACCGTTGTTATCTCCCTTCAAACCGCTTAGGAAAATGTTGTGAAGAAAGCTTAGCCCATGACCAATCAAGGAACTTCGACACGATTTCAGACAATAGATATATGATATACATCAGCTTATATACAATATCGAATTTATTAACTTCTTATTTGTTTAAGTATACCTTATCTAAAAGTTTGTAAGATATTTTGTGATCTATTAGATAAATGCCCTGATCACTGTTGACTTTTAAAGGCTAAATTAAATGAGATCTTATCAGAATATTTGATAAATAATCAGAATCGGTGATACAAAAATTTAACGTTAACAGATGTTTTTCTCCGACATTTTGAGATCTTGATTGACGATGAACTTGATCGCCTATCAGAGATGTAGCTCACACGAGGTGTGTTTACCTGTCGCAGTTGACAATGAAAAGGAGGATAACTCTGTTTTTTTTAATATTAGATGGAAAAACAACGTATTTTCCTCAAATTTCAATTTAAAGCTAAAATCAACCTTTTTGTTTTTTTTTTAAATCTAAATGAATTTCATGAAAACGAATACGTGTTCCCCCTTTCGATTGTTTTGAAGGTAACTGTCATGATTTTGTTATGACCATTTAATGTAAATATTGACCTTGTTATAACAACCACAAAACCAGTAAACTGATTTCGGACAGGGATGTAAGTATTGGCAGACATTTCGCTATGCTTTTCACTATTTAATGTTATGGCAGCTTTATGTAACACGTCTGATACCAATCAAAAACGGGATCGAAAACTCGTTTTCCTTGTGATAAATATTATTCTGATTTTTGTTATCTACAATGTTTGGTCTATTTTTTGTGATATACTCGGATGAAAAGGAAACAACTTCAACTTTACGGTTTACTAGAATAATACTTATGAGCAATATGCCTAATTGTGAAATGCGAAAGGTAACTTTGAAAAACGGACAATTCGTCCTAAGATTTTCTGAGATTTTTAACAAATGAAGAATTCCTTATGCTGTCATGAATAAGGATACCCTAATGTACACAATATTGAAATAACGTCAGTTTTCAGATCGAACCCTAACATCGTGTGTGCCATTCCTGAACAGCTATAGCGTCCCTAGTTATTCGTGGCCTGGAGTTCATAAGGACATTGACTGTCCGTCAAGGAATATCACTCCATTCCTCGGTAAGTGCGTTGGCCAATTAGAGGATGTTATTTATGATGTTTGCTCGATTCTGAACTCTCCTGTCTAATTCATCCCACAAGTATTCGATTGGGGATAAATCGGGGCTATATAGATGCCAATCAATAGGGACGATGTTCTGGATTGCAAGAAAGTACCTACAAACTCTCCTCACGTTTATGATCACCAAGGATATCTTAAAACCCTGGGCAATTCTTCCTCAAGCTATAACTAATCCATCACCAAATGTGTCTTGCTCCGCAACATAAGCGTCTGCAAGACGCTGTCCTCGACGCCGGTCACACGATGACGGCTATCGGACCGAAATAACGCGAATCAAAATCTATTTGTAAAGAGAGCAAGGACCTCCAGCGTTTGATATGGAAACGTATGGCCACATGTGCCGGCAATCATCGCATACGACGTGCTCAACGTTGAGGTGTCAGTGACAAACCAACATACTGTCTATGTGGAAATAAATTTGCAACTCACAATCTGTTTCGGATATTTTTCGGTAGGTTCGACTGTTTTCTTTACCAATGGTATTTAGTGTCGTTAATCTCCTGTCACGCACGTGTGCAGGCCCAATGACCGATCTTGACGTCGCGAGGTCAGACGTCCGGATCTCATTCTGTCATCAACTCTTCTCGTGGCGTTGGGACGTACAACTAACCAACTTGTAGTTGATCTGTGATCTCCGAAGTGAGTAGCTGTAGAGCGATACCTTCAATGGACATTGTGAGACCCCGTCCTCTATCAAGTAGGGTTAGTCGTGGCATATTTGTAAATCAGAATTTGTCACTTGTTTGAATGAAGCAGAACGCATGCATTTGTACAGTCACGGTTTATCGGTAATTTAGGCGCGCCTGGATTAGTCACAAATGACGGATTTGGAGGATTATGTAAGCTGTCCCAGTATTCCTCTTACCTTTCTTTATGTGGCTATGTATATTCAGTACACAATATTTTACAATGTAATAAGTTGCGTTTCATTATCTTTTCAGTATAATATTACATTGTTTGCGAAAGATTAATATTATATCACAAATATAGCTCTACGGTGTCTACTCCAAATAAAGATGCCATAACTCAAAAACAATACGGTAAAAAGTGCATATAAATTTTGAATAAGCTTCACAAATGCTTTTTCCACTTTTACCTACAAATTTTATCATACATGGAATACTGTACTTATTTCCTAACGACTCGAGGAATAGGCGAGTTCATAACCCCGTGAAATACAAACACATTTGGAATCTGCAAATCAAGATCGAAAGCGAAATATTTAAAAAATTCTGAAAAATCTCGGTAATCAGATACACAGTCGCATTTGGCGATTTTTGAAATTTCGTAGCTATCTTTGGTGACATAAGCCAATGAGAAAATTCAGCTATCATAGCTTCGTTAGGTGTTATTTTTTAAGTGTGGCCAGGACAAAATTTACACAATGGGTATTGCAACACTGAAAAAACGGATCAAAATATGACAAAACGAAAATGTCGACGACAGGAATGTTAAAAAGAGTTTTGAGTTGATCATGGAAACGTTTTGATATTTCCCGTGTATTTCATTGCGAAACCAGTAGACTTCCCTTATGAGCACGTGACACGACTTGGACTTCGTCAGCAATAAATAGAAAACTCTTACCCTTCCAGAATACACTTACTCTTTCATGGGTGTTTGTAAAGCATTGCTTTGTTCATACTTTGTCCCTTTTTTCTGAGTATTCTACCATCCCATGATGTCTACAAATTATAGACTCTAGATCAGCTTGAAGGGAAGTTATGTCCTAGACATACGAAACCAAGAAACGCAACGCAAAGTTTGAGGGATGTTTTAGACACTTAAGTTTGGTTTGGCAAAGTAAAAAAAAAATATATATATGCTGGGCGCACCAACACATGCCCCTCCCATGTCAAAGATATCATGTTATAGCAGACAGCGCACGATACAAGTATCGAAATTGTAATAAAATGTCAGGAGGAAAACGGTATTTTAATCATTTTAATGACAGAGGCAATATCCTCTGGACAAGTTGGGAAGAACAAAGGTCAGGTTTCAAAGATATTGGTTAAAAACTGGGGGAGAAGATATCGGAAAGAAATAAAAAGACAACAAATCTTCCTGAATTGTAAAATCATGCCATTAAGGAATGTACGGCTTATGAAGCCTACAATTTAGAGAGAAATAGTTGTAAATAGACAGTTCCCATACAAAATTTAAATGCTAAACAAAGGCGGGACAATTACCCCTTCAAATAACTGCTGAATTAAACTATTACGCCTACAAAGTTTTGAAAAAAAAATCGGTTTAAAGATTGTAATGAAAAATAACAAGGGAATCTTGGAAACTTCCAAATACAATAGACTAGTTTTGGAACAAAGTGATCTAGTAAGGCTACCTGGTTAGAAAGATGGGCTGAAAAATGCCAGATCTCAGCACAAATGTTTACGACCAATGGCCAATTATTTGACTGAAGTATAACAAAGAGCATGACTACAGTCACAATGACCGTCAGAGGCTGGTTATGCTTCCCGTATCGGAGAAAAAAATAGGAATGAAAAATAACAAAGGGCAATAACTCCTACATTATTTAAAAGAGAAAAATAGTTCCTGTGCAATGCACTTGTTGAGATCTATCTACCAAGGACTTTTCATGTTGATACCTCATATAGTTTTTGGTGTAATGCTCCAGACAAAATCATGACCAACGGACAAAGTGGCGACTATATGCTTTCTTCAGGGAGCATAAAAATGGCTACAGAAATATGCGTGCAACATTCCCCACCTCTCATAATGCACCAATTATCAGAAATTCATATAAAGTTTGAACACTCGCCCAAAAAATTCGGGCCAAGACTGACACATACACACACTCTTTCCCTCTCTTTAGGTCATAGGACCTCAATGCAAAACTCTAAAGCAATCTCTATGTTTTCACTTTTTTTGCTCTTTTTATTTATCGTTTTTTTTTTTGAAACACATAACAGCCGACAACTTATAAAAAAATAATGACATGACAAAACGAGGAAAATGACGGTAATGATGGTAAGTTATGGAGGATGAATTCTGAACTTAATGTTAAAGGTATTGTTGATCATGTTGCTTCTTCCTTCAAGATGTTATGTTCTCACAATCTTTATCTTGAAACTAAAATTGTGCATTACTAATGTCAAATTAATAGTTCCAAGATGGAATGTCTATTTATAGCTAGAAGAAACCACAAGTCTGCATTATTGTAAATGCCAAACAGGTATTCCTGATATTTTGTGTTAACATCTGCTCTATGGTCCATTGCTGAAGATTTAATTATGACTATTTAATCTACTTCTTCCATTCTTGAAGCATCATCTTCATCCCCTTCTAATGGTGGAGGCTCTTCTGTATTCTCGTCTGTTTCTGGTGCTCCAGCGTCATCATCATCGATTCCTACAATAGATTTATTCAATTTTTCATCATGGTTATACTTCATAATTTTCCTACTCCTTCAGCTGAAATCAGATGTTATCCAAATTTTCAAGATTTTTCCTGGAATTGCAGTGACCAAACACCAAGTTGACTTGGATACCCGACCAGCATAGCAAGTTTTTATGTATGCAGTCCTCAATGGATTAGAAATTGCTATGTACTTTTTAACTACTTCTGAAGGTTCTAGAAGTTCAACAAAGAATATTTTAATTCCAATGTATAAGGAACATGAGTGTGAATAAAAACATCAGGAGTTAAAATTTTGGGTTGAAAACTTTCAATTTGACACAAAACTTTTCATATAATAAGGATTTTTTTCCAGGACACCAATATAATGGCACATTTTAAAGAAAACATGACTTGACCAATTAAATCAACAAAACTTTCATACTAAAGTATATTGATATTACTGTCTTACCGAGACCAAGTTTGATCATCCTGTGGATTCTGTTTGCATGAGTTCCGGGCTCCTCCAAAGAAAATCCGGATGCAAGCATTGAGGTTTCGAACAGCAGCAGAACCAAATCTTTCACAGATTTGTCATTTTTATCAGCTGTAGCTTTCTCTTTTAAGGACTTGATGATGGCATGGTCAGGATTTATCTCTAGATGTTTCTTGGCAGCCATGTATCCCATAGTGGATGAATCCCTGAGAGCCTGAGCTTTCATGATCCTCTCCATGTTTGCAGACCAACCATACTGACTTGTTACAATACAGCAAGGTGATGTGACAAGTCGGTTAGAAACAGTTACCTGCAAAAAATACACCAAAGGTAAACCTCAATGGAAATAAAAATTTAAGTTTTATTACTCTTTACCATGAACAGTTTTCCCCAGTGTTAAATTTGCTCTCAAACCATTCCTTTAGCCAATGTTTTACCTTCCCTTTCCTAACAATCTCAATTTAGAAACAAGTTTAGCTCATTTCTTCTTGCCCTAAAATCTACAGCCCTTTCATCATTCATTAAGTAGCCTGGCTGCTCAGTGTAAAAGTTAATATAAAACTTTAATCATCAATAATACAATGCAATATCATTTGTATGAATGCAAATCAAATCTTTTAAAAGTACAATGTCTTGGCTTATGATTTGTCGGTTTCGTCAAAATTGACCCAACTGACATTTTTGCCATATGATCTTGGTGTTTGAGAAAAACCAACATTGTTTGTAAATAGCTTTCCTCACATTTACATATTATCCTCCAGTCAGAGACTTATCGTCTTATTGAACTTACAAACCTTTTCAACTTTCTTGTCCAGGATTTCTTTGATTACTTTACAAAGTCCCTCATATGCAGCTGTAGCTTCCTCAAATCGCTTCTTTTCCTCTTCATCCTCTGGTAATTCCAAGCCTTCCTTTGTTACGGACACCAGGGTCTTTCCATCATATTCCTTCAGTTGTTGTACTGCATATTCGTCAATAGGGTCCACCATGTAGATCACTTCAATACCCCTCTTCTTGACATTCTCTACAAATGCTGAACTTTGGACAACCTCTCGGCTCTCACCTGTAATACAGAACCAAATTGATTACAAATACAATATTAAAAGATGCCTATTCCGACAAGTCTTGTCAGTAGCTTTAATGTACAGCTACAATTAGTGCCAGTGTTGCCCATACATTAATCCTGGAATACACACCAGCACTAATCCTAGTCTCTGCTAGGTTTATATATATATATATATAAAAAACAACAACATGCAAACAAAACCAACAACTAGATTCCTTCAAAGTTGTACGAGCTCATGCTTGTCATGTTTTACCAGGATATTAAACACACTTTTAACAGCAGATCAGCAGCTGTGTATTTTTATTTAATGCCTAAATTTATCCCAAATTTATACCTGTGATGTAGTAAATGCTCTTCTGGTTTTCCTTCATCCTGGAGACATATTCCTTGAGTGAGGTCATTTCATCCCCAGACTGAGATGTATGGTATCGGAGGAAATCTGCTATTTTCTTCCTGTTTGTTGTATCTTCATGAATTCCAAGCTGAAGAATAGCAATAAATATTTGTTATATTATAATTGTGCCGAATTTGAGATTTTTTTGATACTTCTTCTGCATCATTAATCACATACTGACATCCTTTTACAAAAACACAATAATAATAAACAGCAATACATTTAAATTCTAGCCACAACACTTTAAAAACTACTGCAACTCTTTGCTTTTCATTAAAACCACCAATCACCCATTTTAGAAACTTAGAAACCCCATACATTACGGTAAAGCTTGTTTATACGTACTTTCAGGTTCTTGGCGAATTGTTCGTAGAATTTCTTGTAATTCTCTTTGTCCTCTGCAATGTCATCAAAGAGCTCCATGCACTTCTTTACCAAGTTCTTTCTGATGACTTTAAGGATTTTACTTTGTTGAAGCATTTCTCTTGAAATGTTCAATGGCAGATCTTCAGAGTCGACCACACCACGGACAAAGTTGAGGTATTCTGGAATGACCTCATCGCAATTGTCCATAATAAACACTCTCCTTACATATAACTTGATGTTGTTCTTCTTTTTCTTGTTCTCAAACAGGTCAAATGGTGCTCTCCTTGGAACAAACAGCAATGCTCGAAATTCAAGCTGACCTTCCACAGAGAAATGCTGTAAACAAAAGTTTATTTATTAGTTTATCAGATGGATAACAGAATATAAACAATTACTTTCTTCCAAACCTCTCCAACAATCTATATTAGTATAATTTGATTAAGATTTTGACTGAAAAATGCGAAATTATTAAGGCAGTGATGAATTTATCAAATCTCTGGATATTGAATAAGACATCTGTCAAAGTTAATCTAGATATAAAGATACAATACCTTGACAGCTAAATGGTCCTCCCAGTCATTAGTGAGAGACTTGTAGAACTCCCCATACTCCTCCTGTGTGATGTCATCAGGGTTTCGGGTCCAGATTGGTTTTGTTTTGTTCAATTCCTCATCCTCCATATACTTTTCCTTGATCTTCTTCTTTTTCTTATCTTTTGATTTATCTTCATCATCATCATCTTCATCATCCAAGTCTTCCACTTTTGGCTTCTCATCTTCATTTTTTTCAGCATCTTTGTCCTCTTCTTTCTTTTCTTCTTCTTCTTCATCATCGGACACTTCTACATCCCTTTCCTTTTCTACTTGCAGCTTAATTGGGTAGCCAATGAACTGACTGTGTTTTTTGACAATTTCTTTCACCTTCTTTTCCTCAAGATACTCAGCTTGATCTTCCTTCATGTGCAAGGTGATTTTTGTGCCTCTGTTGAAAGAGCCATCTCCACTTCTGACAGTGAAAGATCCACCAGCTGATGATTCCCAGACATAGTGTTCATCGTCGTTGTTCTTTGTCTCAACCACGACTTTGTCGGCAACCAGGTAGGCAGAATAGAAACCTACACCAAATTGTCCAATCATGGAAATATCTGCACCAGCTTGCAAGGCCTCCATAAAAGCTTTGGTACCGGAGCGAGCAATGGTTCCAAGATTGTTTACCAAATCGGCCTTGGTCATTCCAATTCCTGTATCCATAATGGTAAGAGTGTTGTCATCTTTGTTGGGAACAAGCTTTATTTCTAGATCTTTGCCTGAATCCAGTTTTGATGGATCAGTGAGGCTTTCATAGCGGATTTTGTCAAGAGCATCAGAACAATTGGAGATCAATTCACGGAGAAAGATTTCCTTGTTGGAATAGAAGGTGTTGATGATCAAACTCATCAACTGAGCAATCTCTGCTTGAAAAGCAAATGTCTCCACATCTCCTCCATCTTCCATGACTTGTTCTTTTATCTGCAGAGAAAATAAGCATATCATGATTATGCATATTAATACCTGCATTGGGTCCTAATAAATGGTCAACTCTGCAATGTGCTGTGTGTAATGTTGAGATAGTCTCAGTTTTTGCAACTTTATTGCATATCCACACACTCCTTGACATTTTTTATTGTCTCCAAAGAAATCTATGAAATTCTTAGAGACAAAAACTGGTTAAGAAAAATATCTTATAACAAAAGTCTGAATTTCAAAATGTAATACGTGTTGTAATGAAAATTATGTTTGTTGGTGCAATGATGATTAATTGAAATGTATATGCGTCATCCTTAAAGTGTATGTACAATATATGAAATTTTCCAAAACAACTAATTCAAAAAGAAAATACAATTAGATGAAAATGCTCGTAATACGCAATACCTGCCATTTTTAATGTTGCACTCATCATTATCTTCAGTATGTTGAAGAAGGTCGATTAGCGGGTATATTAAATGTAGATGAGAAATGCATTGTACACCATATAAAAGCACAAACACAATCTTCTACACAGTAATGTCATTACGATATCGAAAGTGAAAATAAATTTCCAAGTACACAAGTTGCACACGCATATCAAACACATAAATCGAATATACAAATTATCACATTTATTAATCGTGCTCGACACATGCGGATACATGTACCGCGTGCGATCATCACATTCAATGAAGACCCACGTGCTTTCTAAAATTTAGAAAAGGAAAAGAAAACAATTTACAATTATCATAAAATACAAATATGAATTTACTATTGTGCATTTAGTCTACTCTGTAACATCTGGTTATAAACTCTTACCTTTGTTCTTTTTCTTAAATGTGTTTCTAGTCTCTTTCCTTTAGCCTGTTCTTTTCGGCGTGCCGGCTGCTAATCTGTCTGATGTGAAGCACGCTTTGGACTTTATGTATATCACTACACGTTTCCCGAACCATCGAGAACACAAATTTGGCAAAATACATAATTTACATCTACGCAATATGTTAAGAGTACAAAACGAAATGCAATATCAGAAACCATGAGAAATTAGGAATTTCTACATTGCTAAAGCGAACAAGAAGCTACGAACAAACCAAATCAAGTGAACTATTTGCGGAAGTTGGAGTGTACTAATTATATGCCGGCGTAAACAGATATTTTCTAGAACACTCTGTCGGAAGTAGGCTTGTTCTGGAAGATTCTGCTGTAACGATATCCGGTGATCGAAAGGGGTCGTTTCGGTGTGCTTCGCTGACATAGGAAAATAAACTTTTTCTTGTATCCTAAATTGTGTGTTGTTAAGAGCGTTACTCGAGAAAAATTGATTATTTTTTATAAATTGTCAGATGACTCACAGATTATTCATTTTGAGTTATTTTATAAACTGGAAACTGAAAGCTCGGTTTTAATTTTGATTATTGTCACGGATAAGCATATTTAGTGACAAAGAGTAATTAACTGATAGTTTTTGTTTTATCTACTGCAGCAGACGTCAGGGACTGGTTGTATCGAGAATGCTAAATTATATGGATTTACTCATAGACTTTAGTTTAAGTCCCTTTATCTTATCAGCAGAGACATATATAACACATATATGATATATACGTCTCTGGTTCAGCCAACAGATGAAATCGAACTTTTGATTTGGTGATGATTTTTTTTAAAGGTAGGACTGGAACTTTCTAGAAAACAATAAAAACCCAAGAAACTTAAACGTTGCTGCACCTCTTTTCAAGTCCGTGGCATTTAATTTATACATTTTTTCACGCACATGTAGCGACGTAAGGACCCTCACATTTTTTCTAAACAAATAACCCCTTTTTTATTATGTAATTAATAGTGTGTAATAATTAAAGGAAAACATTAACTCTTAAATGCGGTTCAGTTTTTTTCACAGGAAATTCCAGTAATAACCGGCCAAAACTTCTGAACATAGTCTATATTGCGATACCACGGACCTAGATACTTGTTATATTCTAAATACGCAGTGAAACCAAGACTAATTGGCCCATGGATGACTCAATACCGCGTTTTCATTTTTTCGTTTTATTTGCTCAAGATTCGGATTGCGACATAAGTTAGTACTGAGTGCACAACGGGAGGTAACTCTTAAATATTAATAAAAATCGAAAACATCTTATTTGCATATAATTGACATAGATTAGGAGAATGCTGAATGTCATACCGGAACCTGGTTTGTATATAGTTATGTCTTTTAATAGATTTAGTCAAGGAATAAAAAAAAAAAATCTTCAAAGACAGGTAAATAGATATAGGTTCTGCAGTCACTGTGATGTTAATAGTGAAATTGAGCAATTTTAGCAGCCTATAGATGTTAATGATGGTAAATTGTGCTTAATAAAATTTAAGATGAAATCCAGAAGCAGTTTTCACACATCAGAATTAAAATACGAAAGGACATCCATAACTAGGAAGTTATATTTACCTTAAAAAATTGAATAACATCAATAAATGCTGATAATGTTATTACAAAATGTAATATGTATTGAAGTGTTTGAATAAATGTATACTGCTTAAAGTAAGCTTTGAATATATTTACCAGGTTTACCTGATCTTTGGTCTGCATAAGCTGATGACTTTTAGACTACCTTGAATTTCTTTTATACTTTGTTATGTTTCATTAAAAAGTGATTAAAATGCCAAAGTTTACAACAGTTTTGGTATTCTAATGGAAAGTTGCTTGTATTGATATAACCACATTGTCACATTTTATTAATTTAATCTTCATGTATGTCATCTCTTTAAACCCTATCCCACTTTTGAATTCTAACTAGAAGGGATATATTCCCCTTCTTTTCTACAATTCTAGATTAGCCCATGGCATAAAAGGTATGACAAAGAAAACATATTTTTAATTTGTGATATAATAAACATTTGTTATTAGCAGGGACACAGAACTGTCTTCCCTATGTAATATTTATCCACACTTTCTGCCAGTATCTGGTGTGTGGTGCAGATTTAGACTGATGTAAAATGTTGTTTTTTGTCCTTAGTGGGTGGTTAGTTTCACATATGTATTTCCGGTTGCTGACTTCTGAAGGAGAAGACAGTCCAATAGATATGGTTCTATGAATCTAGACAGTTATCACTTGTATTGAACTTGGAATACTAACTTGATAGTAATTTAGTTGTTTGCGTCCTTTAAGGAGAAAATAACACATGCTAAGGTGACCTCATCATTCACTTATTTCTGGTTGTAATGAGTTGTTATGTCAATGAATACATATATGAATACTTAAAGTTATCTTTTTCAAAAACAAAATACTGGTTAACAATACCTGCTTTCCTCAAGACAATTAACCTTGTCTTAACTTATTTGTTTAACAATGGCCAGTATACCAAGTTCGATGACCAACATCCTTAGCAAAGTAAGACAATCTTACAAGCTGAGTCAGCCTCAGACATGGGAAGGCTACACTCCTTTCATTAAATTGTATTATTTTGTCAAAAAAAATGTAACAAAAAGTTGAACTGAATTTGAAATATTTAATAAGCACACCAAAAATTATTTATCAAGTTCAAGTAATTTATTATTAACACAATTTATAATGCACAGTAATAACATATTTTCTTAGCACAGTTCTTATCAAATTTCTCATCACCATGTGTTGGAATTGTCCACTCAAAATTTGTATGTGATGCTGGGAACATGCACTTTTGCATTATCCTGTGTTGTCCTATTGTCAGTGTTTTAATGACATTTATGATGTAGTTTCTCTTTCTTAGGTACACAATTTCATTTGACAATGCGCGATCAACATGTCAACATAATTTTGAATTTAAGTAAGATTCGATGAAATGAGAGCGAAATATCAACACAGATGATTACACGATACCCCTGACAAAATACAAAGATAATAAAACCAGGTGTTGTGGATAAAGTTAGTATTATCAGAATTAACAAATAGGAATTTAGAATCGACAAAAGCATTGCTTTTATTTTACGAAAAAATAAAATGAAATAAATAAATCACTTTCGTTACTGAATTAAATTGCATGACAGGTATTCAGACCCCGAGATCATCTGCACGCAGCTTTTCCTGGCCTGAATTAATTGATAATTGACGCTTCAATTTGACCACATTTTTAAAAACACGTTATTGATCGAATGACAGTTAAATTACATATGATAATTAAAGTTATTGGCGTATATTAGTAAAAAGAAAAACTAATGGAAGATTAATCATTCTAAACACTTAAACAATACATGAAATCATGACAAAACATCGATGACTTGCCTTTTCGACGTGTTAATCTCGCGGATAGTTGGAGACCAAAGGGCCTGTTTCCAGTAATGTTAATTCTCCATAGGAGCCTGCCCCCGTATAATTTCTTATCTAGCTCAGCTACTGTTTTTTCTTTTCCGAAAAATAATTTTACACCTTTCCGACACCCAGATTTCATAATTTCAGTGAAAATGTATTTTTATAAAGTTGTCAATTTCAGCATCAAAGACATAAGTTCGTAAATAAAAGAAGGTTATCTCGAAATTGTAATTTGCAACATAGTATAAATTTCTTTTGATAAATATTTCCAAAACATCGTGTTTATTCATAAAACATAACAAAAAATATATGCTCGGATGAAAATGCACTTGCAGAGACACAGTTAAGAAGAAAAATGCCATAAATTTGCAATTTTCTCCCGTTATATAGTTTTGGATGCAAATTTCCATCAGAACATCGGATAGAGCTTTACTTGTTTCATATGTGTACCAAAAATCAGTTAATTCCATGTGGTGGAATGTTCTCATATCGCCGCCTGAATGTGGTTGTAAATTGAAAGAAAAGGGGAAATGAGTAACAACCTTGTCTGAAACCCTATTATATAGCTTATTATATACAAACTTTTATATTGAATATCAGAGCGGATATTTTCATGACAGTTTTATGATGTGTAAAAAAAAAAAAAAAAAAAGTACTGTTTCCCAGTGTTTTAATGATCTTGATTACTTGAGAACCATTACGTGTGGAACGTACCAGATATCTCTGGCTCCTGGTTACATCGCCGAACATTTAAGTGATGACGGCGACTATGAGGTGTGGCTTTACCAGCACTCCCCAGACCTTCTCCGATGTCAAATACATCCCGACACAAAAGCCAAACGAAGTATAACGTTTGGATACGGTTCACCGTTTCACCCGATGTTGAGGCCCCAATAAAGGACTACTACTGCCAGTGTCCAGTTGGAGAGAGAACGATGGGAATGTGTGCGCACATCTCCAGTATCTTGTACTACCTTGGGTATTACAGGACGCTGGAAAACCCTCGACCATTACAACCACAGGTAAAGAAATCCCGACAAAACTTGAAATAGTTTTCCATGCGGCAACAACGTGCATATGTCGAAAGTATGTTTGGGGCTCGATATGAAAGATCCCCGTTACCATGTGACTAACCAAACTTGTAAATATAGGTATTATACAATCGCCCGTAGCTATGAACACTCCCGTAAATGCGAAAACCAACCAAAATCATAAGGAACACGTTTTGTTTGTTGTTCTGTCTATTTGTCAGCCAATGTCTTCAACCACGGGGACTTGCGAAGTAGCCATCTTGGATTTTTTTATGAAAAAGTGTTTCTCTCACTTTTTTTTCATATCTGTGTACATATTCACAACATACCGAGCAAATACTCTCGTTTTTTTGTTAATTATCTAAAGAAAGTCGAAAATCGGCAATTCAACCATAGGCTAATTCAACCCAACATTTGAAAATGTTCCACAACTTACATTTTGATGATTTTTCCTCTCATCAATAGCATATTACGTACTATTTGATACGCGCGCGCGCGCGCGCGCGCGCGCGCGCGCGCGCGCGCGCGCGCGCGCGCGCGCGCGCGCGCGCGCGCGCGCGCGCGCGCGCGCGCGCGCGCGCGCGCGCGCGCGCGCGCGCGCGCGCGC